GGTCTCACTATGCTGCTTAGGCTGGTCTCAAACTCCTGGGCTCAATCAATCCTTCCTTCCCCTTTGGTCTCCCAAAGTGCTGGGATTACAGGCATGAGCCACCACAGCCAGTCATTTGCCCATTTTGTAATTGAGTTGTTTGCTTTTTGGTTGTTGAGTTGTTTTTTACAATCCTTTAAACATGTAAAAGACTATAGGTTTGGGAGGCAAAGGCAAAAGGATTGTCTGAGCCCACGGGTTTGAGACCAATCTGAGCAACATGGAGAGACCTCATCTCTACAATAAATCAAAAAATTAGGCCAGGCTCGGTGGCTCAGCCTGTAATCCCAGCACTTTGGGAGGCCTAAGTGCATGGATTGCCTGAGCCCGCGGGTTCGAGACCCGCCTGGGCAACCTGACAAGACCGCATCTCTACAATAAAAAAAAAAAAAAATTAGCCAGATGTGGTGGTACACACCTGCAGTTCCAGCTACTTGGAAGGTTGAGGCAGAAGGATCACTTAAGCCCAGCAGGTTGAGGCTGCAGTGGCCATGAGTGTGCCACTGCACTCCAGCCTGAACAACAGAGTGAGACTCTGATTTAAAATAAATAAATAAATAAAGGCCAGGTGTGGTGGCTCATGCCTATAATTCCAGCACTTTGGGAGGTCAAGGTGAGAGGATTGCCTGAGCCCACTGGTTCAAGACCAGCCTGGGCAAGTTGGCGAGACCTCATCTCAAAAAATTAGGTGGGCATGAAGGTGCATGCCTGTAGTTCCAGCTGCTTGGAAGGCAGAAGGATCACCTGAGCCCAGCAGGTTGAGGTTGCAGTGTCTGTGAGCGAGCCACTGCACTCCAGCCCGGGTGACAGAGACTCCAACTCAAAATTAATTAATTAATTAATTAAAATAAACAAACATATAAAAGCAGTTCCTAACCCACAGGTCATTTAAAAAAAGATCATGGGCCATTTGACCCCTTGAATCATCCTACTTCTTTTTTCATTTGGGGAAAGTCAGGCCCTGAGAGAGGCAGTGACTACCCTAGGTCTCCTGATTCTCAGATCAAGTTGTTACAGTGGTCTCTGCAGCTGCTACTTCACTCATTCAGGGAATATTTATTGAGAGCCTGCTATGTGCCAGGTAAGGGGCTACTATAGAAAGGAATGGATAGGATCTGAGCCTCAGAGGTGAGTACAGAGAAGAATAAGGCATAAGACAAATAATCACACAGATAAATACATAATCGCAAACGGAAATAAGAGTGAATGGCCAGGCATGGTGGCTCAAGCCTGTAATCCCAGCACTTTGGGAGGCAGAGGCAAAAGAACTGCCTGAGCCCAGGGGTACGAGACCAGTATGAGCAACTTGGTGAGACTTTGTCTCTACAATAAATCAAAAAATAAGCCGGGTGTGGTAGTGCACGCCTATAGTTCCAGCTACTTGCCTGAGCCCAGTAGGTCGAGGCTGCAGTGGTCATGAGCATGCCACTGCCCTCAGCTTAGGCAACAGAGTGAGACTCCAACTCAAAAAAAAAAAAAAAAAAAGTGGAGGAGGAGCTACTATGAAAGAGAGTAATAGGTAAGGTCTCTGAGAGTGCCACTTAAACTGAGTGCTAGAGGATAAGTTAAAAGCAACCCAGAGTAACAGAGGGGTAGGAAGAGCATTCCTGGCAGAGGGAAAAGCATGTATGAAGGGATAAAAAATACTGAGCGTTTTTGTTGTTTTACTTAAAAGTGCTATGCAAGGTTTTAAGGAAGTACCAAGATTATTCCATTTTCTGTGAGAAGAACAGATCGGAGAGGCACAATAGATTAGAATGGAATAGATTGGACGCAGACAGACAAGTTGACAGCCTACTCTAAACATTCAGTTGGAAGTGGACAGGGCTTGGGCTGGAGCAGTGGTGGTAGAGATGGGGAAAGTGAACAGGTTTGGGAATTATTTGGAAGGCTGACTCATCAGGACCTGGTGACGGACTAGATGACAGGGGTGAGAGGATAGGGAGGTGCCAAGAATGACTCCAGGTTCCCAGCTTGATTGGATGGATAGTGGTGCCATTTTCTGGAACAGAGAAGTCCAAGAAAGGAGGAGGTTTGAAGAGAGAAGCTCAAGAGCTCAATTCTAGACATAGAAAAATTTAGACCCCTGTGAAATATCCAAATGGAGAGATCAAATAGGCAGATGGATATATGGATTTGGCACTCAAAGAAGTTGTCTGAACAAAAGTTAAGTTTGGTGTTGGTGCTCATCACTACCATTAAACTGTTTAGGACAGGACCAGAGAGACACAGTGAAGGAGTGCCAACCTGAGCTGGGCATCAGGGGATTTGGATTTTAGTCCCAATTCTGTCACTAACCATCATTCCTAAGCTTCAGTTTCACTATCAGTAACACAAGGAGTTTGACCTAGATCAGGGCTTCTTTCATCTTTTTTGTATGAAAATTACGTCTTCTCCTCCAAAATATACAAAAAACATTACACATGATTTCAGGGTTCACTCAGTCCCTCGAGTCTTTCTGTAGAAGCCAAATTAGGAACTCCTAGGCTGTCTGGCCAGACAATCAAAGTTTAGGAGGCCTTCCTCGTGAACCCTTTAAATACCTGTTGGTGCTTCAGGTTCCCCTAGGGAATATGAGAGGTATTAAACCATGGAGAGGAGACACGAGGGTCTATGTCTCCCTTGCTTTCTACCAAAAAGTATCCATTCCATGAAGCAAGCCAGTGTATCCAAAGTATAAATGGAAGTAAGTACTAGAAAAGTGAACTGGATGCTATGAAAGAGAATAACAGGGAAGGTCTCTTGAGGGTGCCACCTACTTTTTTTTTCTTTTCTTTTTTTTGAGTTGGAGTCTCACACTGTCGCCCAAACTGGAGTGCAGTGGCCGCTCCCGGCCACCACAGCCTCGACCTGCTAGCCTCAGGCAATTCTTCCATCTCAACCTTCCAAGTAGCTGGAACTACAGGCATGTGCCACCAAGCCCAGAAAATTTTTTTATTTATTGTAGAGATGAGGTCTCACCAAGTTGCCCAGGCTGGTCTTGAACCCATGGGCTCAGGCAATCAATCCTCTTACCTCAGCCTCCCAAAGTGCTGGGATTATAGGTGTGAGCCACTGCACCCAGCCTAGTTTATCTACCTTTACTCCTTTTTTTTTTTTTTTTTTTGAGTTGGAGTCTCACTCTGT